GTGGGCTAGCAATGCATTCTGGGGTAATCTTATTTTTTAAGTAGTAATTCTTACATTTTTTTGAGTCTTCTCCAAAGGCGAGATCTTCAAGCAGCTGCTTGACGTTGTCTTTGTGCAGACATTGCAAACGCTGAGGAAAAACGTAGGTAGGGTTGTGGAGTTACTGATGCTATGAGGTGTTAGTGCAACTGTCTCTCTTATCTTCTTTATTACTGCAGAATTTATAATTACACACAAGCTCAGGGAAAGATGATTGTATCTTTAACAATGAACACTCATAATAGAAGCATAATTATAATGGGTTTGCGTACAACATATACACAGAAAGAAAAAAGGCACCATTCCTCTATCTTTGAATAATCATAATGGTCATACAATCATAATGCATCGAAAAATTGAATTTGTTGCTGTTGCTTTTTATAAGCCTGAGGGATGAAACAAAGAGAATTAAACTCAACAAGAAAAAGAGGAGAACAAAGATCTCAGTTTTGCACATAAAAAGGAATCAACAACATATTAAAAAAACAACAATTTGGGGTTTTCATAGTAAAATAGGCCTATAATATCTTTAAGGATAAAACTGTGGGTCATATTAGTACAGTAAAAATTAAAAAACATAAATCAACCCAAAATGTATTGGTTATACTACAATCACAATAAAAGGGCAGCTGTTTCTTCAAAAAGACCACAACATGAGCAGATTTCATCAACATCAAAACATTTACAGATAGCTAGATGAATTAAATAAAGTTGTTTCGCTTGTTATTACGTCATAGATCATATGATAACATCAACATGGCGATGATGTCCGGATCGCATTCATATGTCATTTCACTTGATTCAATTCCTCCATCCTCGCGTCTTTTCCTTGCATCCTTCCCTCGCATCCTGAAGGGGTGGAGCTAAGACGCGAGGTATTTAAGTGAATGAAGATGTTACGCATTCTGTGATGCTTTTGGTTTGTGTCTGAATAACCGCAAAGCCTGGAGAGTGTCCACCCCAATCATCTGGAATAAAATCGTGTACCACGTCCTGTAACTGTGACTCTAACTGTCCCAACAATGAGAAGTGCTGCAGCAATGGATGTGGACGTTACTGTACGGTTCCATATGAAGGTATTTATGTTGTTGTTAGAAGAAAATAATAATTTGTTTTGCCATTGTTCTAGTCAAAAGTAGGTTTGAATAAAGCACCAACATCCTGGTCTCTTGCTTGAAACCAATATGGAAGTGACTTAAAACTGCAGTTCATCGACTGGCCGCTAGAGGCTGGTTCCAAAAGGGAGTCAGTCCCATAGACCTGCCATGTTAAAATGCCCAACTTTACAGTGACGAAATTGACCGCCTGGTACAAAAAGTGGTTTTGATCTATATAGGTAATTTTGCCCTTCATGACAACTGTGAGGTGGGGTGATTTGTTTAACTCATCCGGTTAAATTATATTAAGTTAAACTCTGCGGACCCGGATACGGGTCCAAAGTCACATTAAAAATGTGTATGCTTCATTTGCATAGCCTTCCTTATATGGTATCAGCCCATATATGGGTTCATTTGAAAGCTTGGAGTGTCTTCACAAAGAATACCATTCCTTTTGGTTTTTATATTCATAAAGCAGTAAAATTAAGCTTAGAAATGTATTCGTCCCACACGATTTTCCGCCTAGCCATTGCGAACTTTTTTTGTGAATTTTTTTTTTGCAAATTTTTTTTTTTTTTTTTTTTTTTTTACAGTCAAGTCATGTATCACACGAAAACTCTCATTCTCAGGAATTTCACGGTGTAGATTATTTTATTGTGTGACAATCATAGATCGCATTATCTTCAATTGAATTGCGATGGGAAAAAAACGGAACTTTTTATTGTGTAACATTTCTACTCGTAGCACTGCTTCAGTTAGCCGCAAACAGCCACAAATATCTATAAACTCTATTACCTTTTAGATTAGGATCTCTTCCAAAAACAAGACCATTTTCAGGTTTCTGCGTGCTTCCATCGGTGAGATATTCGCGTTCTGCCCAGGGAACGGAATTCAGCGTCTCAAGCTCTCCATGGCATGCCAGCGCGCATTCAGCTCTTCTGATGTTATGAAGCTCTGCGGCCAGTTCTGGGCTGCGATTGGTCGGTTTACACGTCACTCAGGTCGGCCATTACAGACTCTGTGAACTCTGACACCACCGCGTCAGCACAGTGGGCAGAGAAAGGAGGGGTCGCCATCCGGTCGCTCAGCCAGTGCTCTGTGGAGAATGTAGTTCATAACGGGAGAATTGAAGGCTTTTGTCCGCACGGAAGAGTTGTAGCGAATGCGTCTCGGATCCTTTCAGTCTATGATTATCATATTACAAGTTATATACGATGAAGAACGGTCAGCGCGCCGTGGAGAGCCTTGGAGAGCAGTGGACGCGCGTCTGGGGAGACTTCAGGAGAGATTCTGAGATTCTCTGCGTGTTTTCCTTTGTTATGAAGCGTGTTGGCTATATTAGCACGCTGATACACTGTTTGCTGACAAAAGTACAAAAGTATATGCATTTCAGTAAGTATACAGTAAATATACAGTAAATATAGATGGATTATTACAGTGCGGTGTAGATGAGCTAACATATGTTTGTTTGACGCTGTGAATGTA